TAGAGTCATTTTCTCATAGACTTCTACACAACCAGAGGAGTCGCCCCTGGTGGACACTAGAGAGAATGCAGCTTTAACACATGGAGCTTTGACTTCAATCTCAGAATGGGAGGTTGACGCCTGGGTGACACAAACTCTGTCTGGGTATCTATCTGCTTGTTCTGATGTTTTTCCGCCACCCAGCAACTAAAAACAATTGATTTAACAAATATGTAACTGGTTTACCTTCTAGCGTGGAGCCCCGTCCCTCCAGGGCGTCGCCCAGACCGGATGGGTATCGTGCGCTGACAGAGATGTCGTACTGAGTTCCCGGCTGCAGGTTCTTGAGGAGGGTGGCCCTGCTGTCGCCCTTTACCGACACTTCCTTCCCGGGGCCGCCTGCGGAGGGTTTGTACGCCACGCGGTACTGGAGCACGTTCCCCGGGGCCTGCTCCCAGAAGACCTTCATGGACGACACGGTCTCGTTGGAAACCCTCAGGTCACGGGGGGAACCCCTGGCTGAGGAGGTTGGGAACAAAGATCAGAAAAATGAAGCCAGACTCAGAAAAATCTGCATCATGGACTTTACTATTTCAAGGAAAGAAACGTGAAGATATTGCACAGAATATTAATAAACGTATTTGTCTGGACTAATGCATATATTCAAGGTATAGTTGCTTCTGGGTATTTATTAGAAATTATTGTATTATTGATTCCTTGTATAGTGTGTAAAAAGTCACAAAGTCAAATTGCACGATCATGGACTGTTAGTGATCCACAGACCGTTGAGAAACAGTGGATCAGCAGGATTTTTGTGGCCTAATAATCAGGAATCATGTTCTTAACTGGACGAGAAACAAAGTGGACGAGAAACATTGTGTGTGAGATATCGTTGCACCAGTCGAGCTGCACGGTAGAAGAACTGTTTGTACTGGGCGGCTACCAAGACGTGCATTAGTGTAAGTACGGCATGTTCACACAATTCCCCTTTGAAATAATAGTTAGAATAAAGCGGTGACTCATGTTCCGTCTGAGTGGAACTGTGAATTGTATTCTTGCATCTGCCGGACTGTGTGATGTTTTTTCCTACCGACTGATGAAATGTCCTGGTTTTTAAGTGAAATGTACTTCTGTTTTTTCCCCAAATAGTAGTCAGAAAATGAAGGAGAAAATTAGATTTCCCCTCTGGCTGTCATAGTTTTGTGCCAACACAAGAAGACCGTGGAAAAGGCTGCAAGCAAAAAAACGGGCAAATTCATGAAAAAGCCTCAAGGCAACTCATAGTTCTGAGATAAAGTCATGGCACTGTAAACATTGTAATGGGAACAATATTGTAAGCCATGCATGGGGGGGGGGGGGGGGGGACGGAAAAAGCCAGCTGGGTGTTTCATGTCAGAGAGGAGCAGGCTGGGATCAATCCTGACTCTTTGTTTTTTATAAACCGTCAAAGTAGAAATCACCTCAGACGACAAGCAGCTGTGGAGCTGGAAGAACACAGCAAGTTCCTCCACGAGATGATCTCCAAAGTTCAACTCCACTGTTGAAACCTGCAGGGTTGTGAACCCCCCCCCACACTTCCCTTTCTCCCTTGTTTATCCCCATCGAGCACATCTTGGCCCCGCCTCTATTTCCCAGCTCTCCGTGCTTCTGTCTGGTTTTTTCATTCCTCTCCCTGTAAGGCCGGACAGGTCTGACGAGGAGCTCGATGGGTGGCAGGTTGTACTAACAATGTGAGGACTCCTGGCACTCACGGCAAGGAAAGCAAACGCCGTGTGACAGATGACGACTTTAAAAAAAAGAAAAAGACTTAATTCCACTGTGGAGTTTAAATGACGCAAATAGACGGAAAGACAGAATGTTTTCATCATCCATCATTTGAAATATGCAGTTTTTTATACTTTTTATTGTCTCACAGAATGATCTTAAGACGTCTGCAGACACCTGATGTGGATCACGACCAGTGACTCACCCATGACTTCTGGACTCAAACTCAACTTGCGGAACAAAAATTTGCCACCGAGTGGAGCTTCAAACAATCGGGATCTGTTAACCCTTTGAACACTTGCTTCCTTGGTTCAATCACTGCAGTTTCAAGATAAGTTAGGTTTCATAGAAGAGTGCGCTTGAACCGAGGTTCCCAAACTTTTCAGACCGTGCACCACTGCACACCAAACGTCCAAAGTACCACAGTTCCTTGTGTAGATCCTAACACTGCAACAATAACAGAACCACCTGGTCTAATGCTCTTTCCTAATTCATGAGAGAGTAATAAGTTGTCACCTTCTTTGGTGGTGCCGTCTGTCGTCATCGGCCCTCCGGAGCCGGACGTGTATTCGGGAGTGACTGTGACGCGGTAGGTGGTTTTAGGCTGCAGCTCCTGCAGCACGATCGTGGTCTCGGGTCCGACGGTGGTGGTCTCCAGCCTCGAGCTCTCGTCCCCCGCGGGTTCATAGGTCAACCGGTAGCGAGTGACGTCTCCTGGAGCCGGCTGCCACGACACCCTGAAGCTGTCTGTGGTCTCCTCGGATACTCTTAGGTTGTGCACGGAGCCCAGTTCTGCAGCAAACGTAAAGAGTTTGTTAGCGTCAGCGGCTGATCCCGTGTGAATAAACGTCTCGAGTCAACGTACCTTCTAACGTGGTCTCATAGCCGGTCACAGGCAAGCTGTCCCCTTTGTCGTACTGAGCGTGAACGTTGACTTCGTAGTGGGTGAATGGGACGAGGCGGGGCAAGACAGTGGTGAGCGTGTACCCGGGCACGGACATGGACACGTAGTGTCCGTACTCGTCGTCCGCCGGCTTGAACCGAACCAAGTAGGACTCCACGTCGGCGGCGTCGATCTCCCAGGCGGCCCTGAAGCTCCTGGGGCCGACCTCTGAGAAGGACAGGGCCCTCGGTTGGGTCAGGCCTGGAGAGAGAGTGGAGGCTCAGTAAGTTTATGGATAGAGAAGCATTTAAAAGACAGAAGAACAGATAAAACATCCAGACATCAAGCTGAAAAAACATGAAAGGAATAAGACGCTAAAAATAAACGTGTCTTGAGTTTTAAAGCAAAGGTAACAAAGTTAAAAGGATTTTTAATCGAACAAACGCAGAAACTCTGAAGAGTGATTTTAATCTAACAGAACATTCATCTTTTTACTTTAGTTGAGTTCAGTTGGCAGGAAACCTCTGAGCTTCATCTTAGTTCATGTTAGAGAAACATATGGATGAATGAGAATCAGCGGGATGAAAGTTCAACATCTGAATACCACTTTAGATCAAATTAAACCAAAAGTATTTATATCCATGAACTAAAAAATAAAATAAATGAAGGACTCCACGTGTCATTTAATAAAGACGTAGAATCTAGAACCATCTGACAGCTCCACCACTCAAACAACATGGAGAGCTGTGAAGCTCCTGTATGCTTCTCTTTGTTGACAGAGACTCATTATTATATAAGAATTATATAAATCGGCAATCAAAGCTGGCGTGAGTCACTCTGTGCCGCTGGCAGACCTGTAGCTGCTCTTGGCAGAGCGGAGAGAGTGATTAATACTGAGCGTTAAGTGGGTGAAACAGCATTGTTTTGCGACATACTCCTCTCGCTTGTTTAAACTTGACTACCAGATGTTCGGGGGGGTCGGATAACAATTTCAGCACAAAGAATGCATCTTTCATTTTTTGTTTACAGATACGTGACGGAACGACGCACCTGACCGTCATCTGGTGCTCCGGCTAAGGTTTAAACAAACGCAAAGACATCTCTGCTGCAGACACCGTTTCTTCTAATATTTCCACATGCAGGAACTCACTCTGCCCTTGAGAGATCAAAAGGTGGACATGTCTTGAACACATTGAGGCCAAGAGGAGGGTCGGATGAAGAGGAGCGACGTGACAGTAATTGTGTGCATATGGACGACTGTCGGTGCTCCTCTGCATTCTGTTGGAGTTACATCGGACTGTTGCGGTATAAGTGATTGTTAAAATGTTGGTTTGTAAAGCTCTAAATCATAATAGTCCACTGGTAGTGAAAGAGAAATGACGTCACGTTAATTTGAGTCTGATGAAAAGCATTCATCGAAGTTCTTTAAAGAGAAGCTACTCTCTCTTTAAACAACTAACATGCATTTCATTGTCAGGTGAAGATTAGCTTTTCAGTATAAACTTGAGATCTTGAGACTTTGTGGCGAAGGCTTGATGCCGAAACGCATCACATGACTACGTCATTACATTAAAGGCATTTCAATGTTGTTAAAGAAAAGGGAACCTTGGAGTTTTCTTGGTATTTTCTTCTACACATATCTTTATGCAAAGAACAGCTCAAACTAACTGTGTCCGAGTCCGACCGCTCCATGTTTGATGACATTATGCTGAAGAAACTGAACTTAAGACCATCAGCCATTCCAAACAAATGAACATATTTTGAAATAATGTGGAATTAGCAAGATAAATAAATGTTAGCTCATTCATATGCACTAAATTATACAAAACTGGTCATTAACAACTATATTTCTGTTGTTTTACATCATTGTGAGTTAAGAGTGATTTGGTTTCTTTTCTGAGAATATGATACAAACCAGAAATAATAAGTAGAAAAACAGAATTGATCAGATCTAAGTTAGAACCGAAAACAACAATAAAGCACACTGTCGTCAGCGTAGAGGATTATAGCAACACTACTCACGTCTCTGCTGGATGATGCTGAGTTCTTGCTCGATCCTCAGACAGATGGACTGCGTGAGTTCTTTGGAAATCCTCTGGAAGGCATCGAAGTCCTCCACGGTGTACACGTGGGAGTCCACGGGCTCGTTGGCGATGGCCTCCAGCTCCGTTCGCACAGCGTCTTTAACGCCCACGGCGAAGATCTCCACGTCGGCGTTCCTCAGCTTGGTGGCCGGCTCCTGGAAGGCGTCGGATGACTTCCCATCGGTGATGAGGATGTTGACGCGGGGAACGTTGGTGCGCGCCCCTCTGGTGGTCTGGAAGACCTTCTCTCTCACGTAGGTCATGGCCCTGCCGGTGTTGGTGGAGCCGCCGCGGTACGGGAAAGTCCTAACGGCCTTGACCATGGCGGCCAGGTCGTGGTGAGTGTTCAGGTAGAACTCGGTGTGCGGGTCCCTGCTGTACTGGACCAAGCTGATCTGGACCTTATCTCGCCCGATGTCAAAGGTGGTCACCAGCACCTCCAGGAAAGCTCTCACTTTAGCAAAGTTAGCCAGACCGATGCTGTAGGAACCGTCGACCAGGAGGACGACGTCGGCTTGTACGTCCACGCCAAGAGAGCACTCTAGATAGGAAAAACAAAAAGCACAATGCAAAGTTTTAATTGACTGACTCCATAAATTGACCTGATGCATGAGAAAATCATTACGTTCATAGTAAAGGAGGAACCACCATTGTATTACAAACTTACTAAAAAGCCAAAATTGACTATTGGGGATTGTTCTGTAAATATTTTGTACTCACCCATTGATACTTTAATCGGTTGCGTCTTCTGCATGAGGGTGACGGGCTCACTGGGCATCAGGCCCCTCAGGGCCAACAGACTGATCTGATACTCTGTGTCTGGAGAAAGGTTCCTGACCACCACTGAGGTCTGGGTCGGGCCCACGTACAGCTCCTGCCGCTTGCCGCCGGCCATCATGGGGATCATCTTCACCATGTATCCGGAAGACTCTCCCATAGGGGCGTCCCAGGTCAACCGCACGGACTTTGAGGCCACCTCCAGGACATGGAGGTTGGAGACCGGATCAACGACTGCAAGAAATCAAGAGTCAGACTCAGAAGTATAGGAGATTTAACTCAAATCTCACTGTGCAAATAGGAAGGTGAATATCTAGGGCTCGTAACTTTGCCTCGTAATTGAAGAAAAAAAAAGAACGTTTGCTCCAAAAAATTGACAATCGGATAAAAAAATAACTGCATGATATCATAGTTAGATAGTTTGGAAACATGTGTCTTTGTTTTCTCACTGGGACTGATACCATTGTTAAATCTGTAAAATATGAAATGGAGCCAGTCAGATGGTTAGTTTAGCTTAGCATAAAGACTGGAATCGGGGAAACCGTTAGCCTGGCCCAGATCAAAGATTTATGGATCAAACTAACTACGTAGAACATGTTAATAAGGGAGATTTAGAGGTGCTGGTAGGTGGAGTCTGTTACATTTGACCAGAGCCAGGCTAGCTGATTCCCCCTGTTTCCAGTCTTTATGCTAAGCTAAGCTAACAAGCTTAATATTTAGCGTGCAGACACTGACGTGAGAGTGGTGTCTATCTTCTCATAAAACTCCGACAGAAAAGCAAATTTGTGTGACCTACTGCTTTAAGATGTCGTGCAAAGGGACAACAGAGGACAGGAGTTGTGACGTTGCATTATAAAACTCCAGGTGTATAAAAGTAGTGTGTTTACATCTCACCTTCTTCCCCGCTGACGAGTGCTGAGAGCTGATCGTCGACGCCAGCGCACACCTGAGTAACGAGCTCTCTCTGCACGTTCTTGATCTGGTTAAAGTCGGCGACATTAAAGATGTGACTTCTGTGAGGCGTGGAGGCCATGAGCTTCATCTCCTCTTCATCCGCCTGTTTGATGCCTAAAACGGACAAAGAAAAGCAAATAATGGAAAGTATTTAGATCAGACTTAGAAAATGGATCACCAAATGTTTGTCCCTTTAGGGCTTCCGTACATATCACTGTTGACCTGCAGAAGCATCACAACTTCAATGTCGGTGACTTTAAGTTAAAATGTAGCTTCAGCTGACAGAAAGCCAAGCTCTTTATGTGACCTGAGAAACCTCCACCACGCTTAAACAGTAACTCGTGGATGCAAGAGCATTTCTCATGTTTCACTCAGCAATTATCCATCTGATCTGTTATTATTATTGAACCGCCAGCCCTCCTTTGCACCATGGCAACACCTCTGCTCCTGCATCCTTTGTGTGGAATGTCTGACAGTGGAGCCCAAACATAAACATTCATAAAACTTGCTATCACTCGCTTTTAATGTTAATGACGCAGGAATTTCTCCCCTGTAGCTGCTTTGGTTACCAAGTTAAGAAAGCATTGAATAGGAATGGAAACTGTAAGATGTGGAATATAATGAACTTGTTCTGGCTACGTACCGAGCACAAAGATCTCCACCCCGCTGCTCCGGAGCTGCTTGGCGTAACTCTCCACCGGATCCTCAGATTTGCCGTCCGTGATGATCACCAGCACTTTGGGGAAATCCCTCCGGGCCCCGGCCTCCTCGGTGAAACTGTTTTTCAGGATGTAGTCGAGGGCATCGCCTGCAGCAACGAGACAGGGTTTAGCTTTTAAATAATGGTCGACGCGGTGTAGGTTTAACACGTCTTCATCATGCTCACTAAATAATGAGGAGAACGTTAGCACAAACCAATGAAGGTGTTATTATTTTTTAAAGATTTATAGTTGGAAAAAAGGGGAAAACATTATCGCTGAATAAAGAGTAAAAAAATGCAACATTTTGGAGTTTGTGATGCCATGAGTTGAGTAACATGTGATTTGTTTGAGGTATTTACATGTAAATCTATATTTATGTCCCTTAGATACGATCAACAGGTATTTTTATTATTATTTCAGAAATTTTAATTCTTGACGCTCCACGAAACCTGCCAAATATGTTAAAAAAAAAATGATATTTAGAAGAAAACAAATCATGATTTACTGTTTGTGGCACAAATAACAATAAAAAGTACCAAAACATACTGAGTCGATTTATTAAGAAAATTGTAAAAAGTATTTAAAGTATCGTAGTATAATAGAGTAAAACTATAGTGAACATTAAAGGACATGAACTGCGTACCTGTCTTGGTGTCTCCTCCTTTGTACGGCAGCGAGCCGATGGCGCGCAGCAGCTCGGGTCGGCTCACGTGTTGTTTGAGGGTGAACTCTGTTCGCGGGTCGCTGCTGTACTGGACCACGCCCACCCGGGTCCTGTCCGCTCCGACCTGAAAGGCGCCGGCCACCGCTGAGATAAAGTTGCGGATGTATCTGAAGTCCGGCCTGCCGACGCTCCAGGAGCCGTCCACCAGGAACACCACGTCGCCGATGGCGCTGAAAGAGCATTCTGGGTAAAATAAAAAATAAAAAGGTGAGGAGTGAGAGGGAGGGGCAATAAATAGACAGAAGAAGAAGACTTTTGAAAAACAAATGCATAATTAACTTTAAGTTACATAAAATCTACTTTTTAAGTTTGCAATGTGCCAGAAAAACGACAGTTTCACTGGAGCAACAAACATTTGTTGATAACTTTAACCATTTAATCTGGATTCTCAAATAGAGGAGCAGAAAGACGGTTTGTATTTGTGTTTGGTCAGTATATTTTAAGTCAGGCTTAAAGGCTCTATGGAGGGCTACAATCGCAGCAACTATTGGATTAATAGCCGTGAGTTTTAGTCAGAGATTCGTGGTCCCCAGAGGATGAAACTGGTGTTTTGGTGAAGTTTACACTAGGCTATGTACGCCCATCATCCTCCATGTCAACCTCCCTAAAAGCTGTGTGCAATACTAAAACACAGCAGCACTTCCTTCACTGGAAAAAAAGCTAAATAAAGTATTAGCATGTACTTTATATGTGTAATTTGTATTTCCTTTTTGAGCATGTATGACACTTTTAGTTGCATTAAGGTAACCAGATCTTGACAATAATGAAACTTCTGCACCAAAAGTAATCAGGTGTTTTGCAGAATTACGGTTTTGGCAAGTTGGGTGAAAAACTTGGGACTATACATCCTCAAGGTATGATTGTACTGGACTCTACTGTTGGAGGTGGAGGTACCGGACTCTCCGTACTTTCACTGTGACTTTCCTCTCGTCAAAAGAAGCAAAAAGAAAATCAGCACTAGCTCGTCCTCGTCTACAGAACTGCATCAGCAGCTCTCTTGTAAACCAGCATCTGGTTTCCACTTCTCTCAGCACTTCAGGGCTGGGCTCCGCTCAGCTCGTTGTCCCACAGCTCCCAGCAGCCGGCCCAACCCACGACCCCCCCGCACTGAGCATGCGCTGCTCCCTCCACACTGGCATAATTGGCCGGCAGGGGAACCAAAACCGATGACCGAATACTTCAGAGATTTACGAGGGGCCTAATTTTGATTATTGCTGTGCAATGGGGTGTTGTGCGTTTTAATGGACGCCGCCCAGTAGTTTGGGGAAGAAAGTTTGAGGACGGTGGAAAAGTGGAAAAGTGGAAAAGTGGAAAAGTGGAAAAGTGGAAAAGTGGAGCGGTGACTTGACAAGTGAGTGAACCCCCTCGTCAAATGAAGGTTTAGATGAACAAAAGGACTCACTGACTGAATCTGAAGAGTCTGGTTTCCTGGAAGTTCCTCTTGTGCCGCCACTTGACTCAACTGAAAGACAAAAACACAATCATGTAATTCATGTTAGATATGATTCAGATAATCTATCATCAGCAATATTTTTTTTCCTCAGTCTATCCTCAAAAATCTTCATTTTAATGTCATGTCACAGACGCTTTTCTGCCAGTAACTGACGACTCCAACCGGACAAAAAACTCTTCTTTTCTTTCCATACATGAGATTTAAATTCTCTCATCGGAGGTTTTATTTTTCTTGTACAACATTTCCTCCGACAACAAACTTCAAAATGGCAAAACTAAACAAGTTGACGTCATTGTTTCCGACAGAATTTGTCAGGGAAATCTCCTGAGCTCGGAGGGTTTTTCAGATCATCGGTGTTAGTTGCGGTGCCAAGCGGGCGTCCCCACCAAACTCCTGCCATGACATACACTACATTTGTGTCTGTTAACCTGCTGCAGCTGCTCTTTTCTTGTCCTATCTTATCCGTAGATTAAATGCATTGCCTCTTTGTGCCTCTCTGACCGACTAAATCTGTGGTTCCCAAACTGTATTTAGCTTGAGATGATTTGAAATGAAGCTACTTATGACCGTTCATCAATGGCCTTACAGTGGATATGTATTGGAACCAGCTTTAGAGACTAAATTAAAGCAAAACAAGGAATTAAATATGATTTTCTGTAAGTTTTTAGACTTTTTTTGTCTTGTGAGCCATCATGGTCATCATGAGACCCCTTTTGAGGTCTGGTTGCCTCTGGTTGCCTCCTGCATTCTCTCTAGTGTCCACCAGGGGGCGACTCCTCTGGTTGTA